AAAGGGGAGCGGCCGCCTCCAGCCACACTGCTGCACAGCCCTGCCCTGCACTCAGGCGACAGAAGTTTGTGTTTTCTAGGATCTGGTCTGAAAAAGTGAAGCACAGGTAAAGCGATGCATTCATCCCGAGGATGAAAGTCTAAGCTGAATCCTCGGACGCGCTGGGCCATTGCCTGGTGTATTTCGAAGGGATGGAGAGAGTGGGAGGTCTTCCTCCTCTTTGGCTGTTTACCTCTACTCTGAGAGTGAATGGCGTGGCCACTGGCAGAGCTCGGAGTCCATCTCAGAGCTGCTCCATCCTGCACAAGCTTGCGGCAGGCTCTGGGGGCTGCTCGGCTGCCGGGATGCACCAGGACGCAGAGCTGGCTGCCTGCTTCCCTCTCCTCCCTGAAGCCCCATCGCTGGGAGGTGCGAGGGCCAGGTCCCCCCACCATGCAGCACCCGGTCCAGCCCAGCGTGGCATTGAAGGAAGCACCGGGCTGCTGCCGCAGAACGGACTCCTGAGTCTGAGATGATCGTTTCCAAGAAGAAATGAGTAACTTAGGGCTGACATTTAGCTTCTAGCCTTTTGCTAAAGATGAAGTAACAACTGTGACAGATGAGGTTATTTTATAACCTAAATATTAAAAGAAAGTGCTTCAGATGTAGAAGGAAGCAAACGCAGCAGTGAGTCAGGGTAGGCAAATAGCAACACACACTGTTTGATAAAAGTTGCATGACAGTTTAGTTTCTTCTGCGTTGTGTCACTCCATGGATCCTCTCTGAAGAAGTTGTATTGTGAATCTAATACAGGCAGGGAATTCCTTCTATTCCTCCTGGTTGTCCTCAGCTGCGCTTCTTTATATGACATCTGATTTTACAACCGTTGTCAAAGAAAACCATACAGGAGCTGCCATTGTAAAAAATTTAAAATCAGATACCTGTCTTTGATTTGGTAAATCAGGGCATTTTACCTGAACTGTAATGACATACATTTGAATTTGTATCCTAAAAGAGCACAGCACAGCACAGCAGAGCTTTGCAGAAAAGAACTGGAAAGACAGTAATAATTTCCCATACAGGCTCATTTTTTTGGCATGTTGCTGCAAATCTTGTAATTTGTTTTGTTTTAGAAGAGGGTTGTGCAAAAGCCTCTAATCAGTTGCACAGACAGTTACTTGTTCTCCTACCACGATGGAGAATTTTGCGTCTCACCATGGCCAGGTATTGTGTTCTCCTAGTACTGTGAAAAGATTTGTTAGTTCAGTTCATTTCCCAAACCTGTCTTTCTAATGGCCATATTTAACTGTTGTTCTATCGAAAATAAAAACTACTCAAATGTGGAAAAACACACCCCCAAGCTGCTAGAGAAACAAATTGAGAATATAGGAATTTTGTAATCTTTCCCTGTATGATGTCGTATCATCCTGAGGAATGGAGGCAGTGTAACTAAATTTATACCTATCACAGATTATGGAATGTAATCACAAAACAATCAGATTCATAGTATCATATAAATGGGATTTTTTTCTGCAAATAGGTCTGAAATACCACACAAAAGTCACTATGACTATTTAACTTCAACAGACGCAGGATTTTAGCCATGTTATTAGACATTTTGTCCATCACTGCCAGATAAGTATATAAGCTCTACTGTTCTCGTGTCCCATATCTTCTGGTTTTTTAATCAGTGTTTGTCTTCAGAAGGAACTAGTTCCCTTAAATATCACCTAATCCCTCTTTACTGGGCATAGGAGCCTCCTGCCCTCTTTGGATTGCAGTGGAAAACAGCATATGCAAGTAGAAAAAAAAGGAATCATCTCCCCATAGCCAGTTTTCGTTGTCATGCTCAAAATCTGAAGGCAGAAAATAACTAACCCGCTTTAAGGGAAAGAAATTACAGTCATTCTTAACTTGGCTCTCCAGCTCCCTGTAAGAGCTGTGGTCTCCCCATGTTGCAGGTGAAGGAGGGCGTCTCCTCTTTTATCAGCCCTGGTTGTGTTGCCGCACCTTTGCGATGCTCCCACAACCGTTTCCCTCGGTGTAAAAGGGACCGAAGGATAAATCCACGCAGTTCCTCAGAGTGGATCTGATGATTTGCTCCCAGCACATCAGCAAACATGGCCACCCACGCCATGGGGCCGTGGGGACTATCGCGTCCACGGGGTCCTTGGGAACAGGCAACGCAAGGGGCACGTGCCCCTCTGCCTTGTCCCCGCTGATGCCTCGAGGAATCACGTCTCTCACCGAGCCATGCACAAAGCACATGCTCAGCGGCGTGCAGGGACCTTCCGTATTTGGGATGTCAGGTAACCCCCATGCCAGATGGGAAAGAGAGGGAGCCCCTTTCTGAACTTGGTGGCTATCTATGATGACGGGCATTATAGCTTTCTTGCTTCTCCTGTGTTGACTAAAACTCATTCATAAAAGTTTGCAAAAGTTTTCTGTGTTTTTTCAAGAAGAGAGGGTAATTTTTCTGCCCTTCTGATGCTCAAAAAGAACTGAATGCATTTTGTGCGGGAGCTCAGGCACGGCAAATTTCAGAAGGATGCAAAACGACTTACAAAGGAGGCTGCACGGAAAGCCACTAGACCAAACGATAAGCAGTAATAACCTACGGGCCCTAAAATTAAAACCTTCCCTGATTAACAGAATCGCTTGCAGAGAGAAAACCAGTGTCAGTCTCTGCTGTTGCTTCCCACTCTCACGCTTGCTGAGGATTTGATGGGGGAAAGAGGGAGGGGAAAAGAGGGCAAATTAATTAATGCCAGCTATCTTATTCCTGCTATGCCAGCAATCTCTACGCTTGGGACGTGCAGCTGTGGCCTGTCCTTTGCTCCGAGGGAGCGCTAGTCCCCTGCTGCTGCTGGCTGCCGGCACATCCCGCATGGCTGGCACCCTCAGTCACATTGCTCTTCTGCCTTCTGCACCTGAAATTTATCTGTCGAGAGTCATTTAGCAATCCCAGGCATGACAGTGGTCCCAGACATAGTCAGGCTGTGACTGTCCCTTCTGTGTTCGCCCAGGTCGGGGCCTTTCGAGGCTCCTTATTTAGAGATGTGCATGGCACAGATGCAAGTCACAACACACCCAAGTTACCAGCAAAGGATGTAGGGGAATAATACTGCTATTTTAATGCATGTTTCCTTTTATTGCTACAAGTGTGCTATTAATACTGCAGTCACCAGAACTTCTGTTGTTGCTTAGTTCAAATAGGAAAGGAACGGAGGTGAGGAGCCGCTGTTGTTCTGGCTGCTACTGTGCCAGATGAACTGATGAATAACGTGTGTGATTTCTATTTCCCTTGTAGTTGCACTCTGCTGTGACCAGGATCCAAGTTCAAAGACCTGGTTTCAATTACACGTTTGCCCATATATGTATCCTGAACAATGACAAGACATGCATAGTGGACGACATAGTGCATGTACTGGAGGAATTAAAGGCCGCTCGTTCTTCTAATCGAACTAATTTTGCAATCACTTACCCGATTACTCACTTAAAGGATGGCAGGGAAGTGTATAATGGGCATCAGCTTGGTGGGGTTACTGTGCACAGCAAAGACCGGGTGAAGTCTGCAGAAGCCATTCAGCTCACCTACTACTTGCAGGCAATCAACTCCTTGAATGACATGGTGGCAGAAAAGTGGGAATCCATTTTTTGTGACACTGTTGAACTTTTCCAGAAATCCAACAGGAAAGTGAAAATGTACCCTTTCACTTCTTCTTCGCTGAAGGAGGATTTCCAGAAGACAAGCAGGGTGTCAGAACGCTACCTGATCACAAGCTTGGTCCTTGTGGTCACCTTGGCCATTCTCTGCTGCTCCATGCAGGATTGTGTCCGCAGCAAACCCTGGCTTGGCCTGCTGGGATTGCTGACCGTGACCCTTGCCACCCTGACTGCCGCTGGGATCATCAATCTCACCGGCGGGAAATACAATTCCACCTTCCTGGGAATCCCCTTCGTCATGTTAGGTAACTATCTCCTCTCTCCTCTCTCTTGTGTGTGTTTGTGCCTCCCTGACGCGTTTCCCAGCAAGCGGAGAAGCATCGCTGCATGGCTCCCACTGCCTCCTCCCTCCGACGCCGCCCCACGCCAAATCCATGCAGACCCTTTGCCTGAGCTGTTTGTACCACGCCGGCACGTTAAAGTTGCGCCCGGACATGGTACACGGCACCCGCGCGGCAGGGAGGAAGAAGGATGCGCGAGAGCCGTGCCTTGTGCAGAGAGGGGTCCTGGCTGCCACTTTTCTGTGGACATTCAGTTCTGGTTTTGGTGGCCAGCGTCGGAGGGAAGCCTTTGCCGAAGTCCCTGTGCCACAACAGAGCGTTGGGCGCTGGGAGGGCGCGAGCAGAACTGCGCTGCCCTGGCTCGGTGGGTGCCCAGCTGTGGGGTCAGGGCAGTGGTCGGTTCTGGGTTGCGTTTCTCCTGAAGCCCGTGTGTTGGCTGAGCGAGCGCAGGGAGAGTTCCAGAGCCAGGGGGTGGATAGCTTCGCCTCCCCTGGTCAGGGACAGAGCCGACCGGTTTGGTGGCAGAGGGCTACAGTGAAAGTGGCATCGGTGGCTCCCTGGCTCCACTGCTGGCGGAGGCATCTTCATCTCCCCGGTTTTCATCCCACCTTCGCTCACTGTGGGGTATGGGGTGGTTTCGTTCTGTTTTGTTTTCCTAGAGGGTAGGAAAGAGGAGGAGAGAAGGGCGGTCAGCTTGGTGCCGACCCAAAATCAGTGCCCTCTCCTCTTGGCGCCAGGGTGTCTGTGGGGATGCTGCGGGGATGCCATGTATCATATCGGAGCAGGCAGGAGGGCTTCACAGGAGACGAAACGAGAGCTCTGGAGAGCTCGCAGCCTCTTTGTTTGTGTTTGGTGTATAACCAGTGTGAAAAGCTTTATGCGCTGTGGGTGTTTAATACGTCCTCGTTGGCACCATTATTCATTTGTGGAGAATAATACATGCATTGATTTGAATCGCAGCTTCCCCAGCTGAAAATCAGTGCTCAGCAATACTTCAGGTTTCAAGTGTAAGAGTGTCTCCACTGACTTAGTCACATTGTGTAGTGATAGGACAGATTTCAACACGGCTATTTTTGTATCGAGCACCAGGTTCCTGTGCCATACCTGTGCTGTAGCTGTGGTATTGTTGCACCTTAATTAAAGACTGTGCTTCGGTGCATCGCGCTGCCAGTTAATGTGCAGAATATATTCAGTGACAAAAGAGAATCCAGCTACATTACATCGGCTCTCATTTTCAGGTGACATCCATGAAAATTAGACTGTGTCATATTCTAGAGGAAATGCAACATGAGAATGTCAGAGTCAAAAGAAGGCTTGCTTTCTGACCTGAATCTTTGGTTTCTTTTGTGGGTTTTTATGCCTGTGCATGTGTTATAAAATTCAGTTCCTCCAGCTAAGTAGTGTATATTACGTATAATATTACATAGAAAGGGATTTCCAGGTGTGTCGCAAGAATAATAGGAAAGCAGTCTAAAGTCCAGCCATATAAAACAAAAGTACCAGAGGAAAGCAACTCAAAAATATGAAATATTAGCTCTATTTAGGGATCAAAGTATCTGCTTACTGAGACAACCTTTCAGATCTTTAATTCAGTAATAGTGACTAGGCTGAGACTTGAAATCCTCAAAGTCTTACAGATAACTATGAAGAGTTTCACACTTCTATTTTAGTGCTCCTTTAACTGCCGAGCTGTATAGCCAACTCTGCTTTTCTTTTCCTCTTTTTTTTTTCCTGGGGTTTTTTGGTCTGTCTTGGTTGAAGTATTCCACTCTTTAAAGGAGTAAGTTTCAAATACACAGCTCAACTCTCACTGTGAACAAGTCAAGACAGAGCAGCCAAATCTGTGTGAATCTTGCTTGCTTCCCCACCTGCATAAAATCTCCCGAGGGACAGGAATATCAACAGGTGAACAGAAGGCACTAAAGACATTCTGGAGTTTTTAATGAGAACTGTTTTAAACCAGCAGACAGCTAGAAAGGTAGGGTTTGCTTTTTTCCCTGCAGTACAACAGAAAGATTCAGCATGTGTTTCAAAATTTATTTCATTCCTGTATGTTGTTTTGCTTATAAGGGATGCTTTAACTCGAGGTAACTGAAAGCTGGAGACACAAACCACCCTCTATTATAGCCGGCTGAACTACTTCCACTTAATTTCGGTGACCATCAGATTAGATCACAGATTAACTGACCTTTAGAAAGCTAAAGGATTTCTGGCTAGCAGTGTAGCCCCGTAGCTATTACTCATAATCTCATGGCTAAAAGCAAATATTAGATAGAAAAAACTATTACACTGGACACATTTCAGGCAAAGCCCCTTTACTACTATAAATCATTCATGAAGTTTCCCCAGTTTATAGCAGCGGAGGATTTTTAACTTTTCGTCAGCATCGCAGAGCCAGCGGGGGGGGACACTCTCCAGACATCATCTGCCCTCTGCTACAGGACAAGATGACGTCTTTCCTAACAGATACTTCTCGCCCTGCACTTTATCTCCTCCTTGGGCCGCTTCCCCTGTGTTTCACTGTGCTACCACTACGACATTTGCATCATATCTAACCCGAATCTCCCTTTCACAACTCAGCTATCCTTATTTATCCACTGCATCTGGAAAAACAATTTATTTTCTTTTTTCTTTGCATATTTGCGCCCAGTCCTCTTCCCTTTCATCCCAGGCCTCCTCAGACTATGCTTACCAGACTTCCAGCAATCTCCTTGCTGCTGGCCGCTCCACATCTTCCATGGAGTTCCATGCCTAAATCCAGGTGCAGGATTCAGGCTGAGGCTTTCAGCAGCGAGTAGGAGGACGATTTCACACATCTTGCATATGGCACTCCTGTTCATACATCCCCATATGACGTTCTTTTTTTTCTCAGCAGCATGAAATTGTTGGCATTTGGTTGGTGATGCATGGTAATTCACAGATCCTTTGTGTCAATTTCTACCCTGTTTGCACAATCGGTTATTCCAACCAACATGCAGAAGTTTGCCCTTGTCCTTGCTTGTTTCTCTCACGCCATTTCTTCTCTTTGTTAAGTTCATCTTGAGACCATCACTGCTCTTCCAAGATGCTTTAACTGAAGTTGGTCAGCAATGTTTTGCAATTATCGACTTTTTTTGTATTTTCAAGAGTTACTTTCTGAATAGTTTAAGTAGTTTGTCCAGTCACAAGCCCATTCTAATAATTTAGGCAATAGGTCTGCAAAAATATGCCTGCAAGAAAGTTGGAGAGGGACTTTTTACAAGGGTGTGTAGTGATAGGACAAAGGGCAATGGCTTTGAACTGAAATGGCTTTGAACAACGTGGTCTAGTGGGAGGTGTCCCTGCCCATGGCAGGGGAGTTGGAACCAGATGATCTTTAAAGTCTCTTCCAACCCAAACCATTCTATGATTCTATGATTCTATAAAGTACTCTGTTCAACTCCATGCTCTGTAATAGTCGATCTCATTAATACTCTTTTCTGTGACATCCCTTCTTCATCAGCCATTTCCAAGACCAAACAAGCTATAGTGAAGGGTACCAGCCTCTGTAGGTGTTGAATCCTTAGCTTTTGCATCAATAGGACAATTTTAAGTTATTGAATTACCATGGCTTACCAAGTTGCACTCCCAGGCTCAGACTGTGTAAGTGTAGGCAGGAACATCTTTTGCCTACTCCACCTGTTAAATCTGACATACTGGTTTAAACACTTTGTGCTTTGGGTTTAATCACCTTCACGGTAGTTTATTCTCATTTATTTTACTTTTTAATTAAGGCAGGTTACTGTAACTCAGCTCACGAGGACTACGCAGCCTGAGTATGTCTCTACCGTGTAGATTTTTATGGTGTGGCAGGTTTCTTTTTAGCCCTCACTGGTTGCTAACAGAATGACAAAAATCGAAGCCAGGGCAGATGTTGCCAGAGACCTCCTTCCCCAGCAGGTACCAAAATAGCAGAGGTCCCTTTTGGTCACCAGAGGTGCAGCTGTGAGGATGAGGATGAGGGGAGGCTGTGCCTGGAGCTGGTCCGCACCCCCGCAGAGGGGCCGCGCTGGGGGCGAGCTGGCTGCAGCCGCTCTCTCCTCTGGGGATGTCTCGTCAAGTCAAACTGGGAACTTTTCTTCTTGACCTCTGGATTTATACAGGTGCTTGTAATGTGAAAGTGAAGCCTAAAACCTGTGAAACTTGGCAGGCTCCCACCGTTCATCTGGGCATGTTTTGAAGTAGCATATGCCTCCGTGGTTTTTTAAAACCATCATCTGCATTTATCAGTGTGTAAACAAGTAATTTAAGGACAAGATTACTCACATGCCTCGTTCGTGTGGAATACTTTGCTGGATTAAGGCTATTCAGTTTTGACCCTAAGAACCGAAAAACTAAATTCTTCAATTCGGCTCAACTTAAAATAGCTGATTTACAGCGTGAGCTGGAAAGCAGAGTTAAAATTCTGATTTCCTATTGCCTGCTCCACTAAAAACTACAGATGTTTGGTCTGGCTCAGATGCTAATGTATTCATCATAAGTTTCCCTTACACGTTAAATGCTGTTTAATAACTGCCAATCCTTTAAAAATACCAGTTTCCTCAAAAAAAAAACAGTGTTACCAAACAAACTGTTGGACAACAAGCCGGCTGAACAAATTTTTGCCGTGACTTTTTTTACCTCCCAGAGGCGGAGCGCCGCATTTAACTTAAGAGATTCGAAAGAAAATTGCAATATTGCCCTTTGCACTGAAGAGAAAACTAGCAATCTGTTTTCCTATTCCTCTAGAAACTCCTACAGCTGATTTGGGGAGAGGCGGTTCTCTTCAGCTGCCCAGTTTGTGCAAAGCATTGGCTCTGCAGAATCGCAGTGGAATGCCAGGCGCTGCCAGATACAGGCAGGGACGCAGGGCCGGCTCCACGGGCTTATATTTAGCCCACGATGCTGGCAGGGGAATACCGGTTAGCAGTTACGAGAGCAGCTTGAGCTTGCAGCTTGCTGTAAAC